TGTAGGGAAGGTGTGATACGTAGGGGAAGAACAAAAAGGGAAAAGAAAAAAATGTGAGAGAATGAAAAGATGAAAATAAAGTGTTTGTAGATGGGGAGGGGAGGAGGGGGTGAAGGGAGGGCAGAGGTAAGGGGAAAAAAATGAGAATCAAGACTTGCCATGTAAAGGTACATGATCCCAACAATGAATGTAACTGTACTGTATCCCTAAATGTACCAATAAACTCAATAAAAAAAAAAAACACATCTTCTTTATCCAGTTTCCAACTGATGTGCAAATGGGCTGTTTCCAAGTTTTAGCTATTACAAACTGTGCTGCTATAAACATAGGTGCTCATATATCTCTGTGGTATAATTCTTTTGGAAAGATTTTTACCAGCTGCTCCTCGGACAAAGGACTATTATCTAGAATATATAAAGAACTCAAAACAATCAGCCCACCCAAATATAAAGACCCAATTCAAAAATGGGCATCTGAAATGAACAGACATTTCTCAGACAAAGAAGTAAAAACAGCAAGTAAATATATGAAAAAATGTTCCACATCACTGGTCATTTGAGAGTTGCAGATGAAAACAACACTAAGATTCCACCTCACCCCACAAAGAAGGGCTTCTATCAAGAAATCAAACAATAACAAATGTTGGCAGGGTTGTGGGGAGAAAGGAACCCTTCTCCTTTGTTGGTGGAAAGGCAGACTGGTGCAACCACTATGGAAATCAATATGGAGATACCTCAAAGAGCTGGGACTAGAGGTTGAGAATTTTTAATTGTTTCACTTTATGTCTTATGTTGGTTAGCTGCACCTTTTTGTCCTGGTAGTTTAGTGACTGCTTTAGGACTTATTAGGGTCTATTATTGTATTATGCCACTTCACTTACGTCAGAAAAACTTTATAGTATTCTAGTTACATTTATCCTCTTCTGGCCCTTCTGCTATTATTCTCAGCCATTTTACTTGTATTTCTATTACAGGCACAAAATATATTGTCACTTTTCATTAGTTTTGTTTAGTTAATTAGCTTTTTAAAAAATTAAATAAAAACAGCTAAGTAGGAAGGGTAGGGGAAAGGAAAGAAGGGAAAAGAAAAAATATAAGAAAAGGAAAAATGGAAACAAAGTCTTTGTAAATACAGAAGGGAGGAGGGGGTGAAGGGAGGGCAGGGATATGGGAAAAAATAAGAACCAAGATACATCGTGTAAAGGTACAAGATCCCAATGATGAATGTAACTATACTGTATACCTAAAATGTACCAATAAGCTCACTGGAAAAAATCATCTTATGTAGTTACCATTTTCAATGCTCTTCATTCTTTTATATAAATCCATATATTCATGTAGTATAATTCTCCTTCTGCCTGAAAGAGTTCCCATGGTCTTTTTTGTGGAGTGGTTCTTTGGTAATGAATTCTTTCATATTTTGCTTGATATTTTCTTTATTTTGCCTTTGGCTTTTCCTGGGTATGGAATTGGGTTCCATACCCAGTCAATAGGCTGACAATTCTTCCTTCAACACACACACACACACACACACACACACACACACGCACACACACACAGATGCACAGGCACGCACATGCACACAGAGTATGTAGGTACTATGTCAATATTTTCTCACTTGCATTGTTTCCAGCAAGAAACACAGCATTACCCTTGTCTTTATTCCTTTGTACTTAACACATAGTTTTTGCTCTGGCTCCTTTTAAGATTTTTTTAATTATTTTTATTGGTTTTAAGCAATTTGATTAGGATGTAATATGGCATCATTTTCTTCCAGAGTTTTGTGCTTGGTTTGGATAAATTCTTGCATCTGTCAGTGTGATGGTTACTCTTGATTGCTAAATTGATTGGCTTGATGCCTGGGAGATTAGTAAAGCACAGTTTTGGGTGTGTCTGGGTGGAACATGGGGCAATGACCTTGGGACTATGTCTGGTTCCTGGCCCCTTCCTCTCTGGCTCTTCCTCACTCTCTGCTCTCCAGCCACCCAAGGTCTGTAGCTTTCTGCTGCTGTGTCTTTCACCATGATGTTTTTGCCTTAGAGCCAGCTGACCATGGACTTAAACTTCAAAAACAATGAATCAAGATAAACTTGTCCTCCATTAAGCCATGTGTGTCAGGTATTTTTATTCCAACAATGATAAAGCTGATCAATACAGTAGACTTATACTTTATATAACATTTTCAACCTTTAAGTCACTAATTTTCAATCTTTACAGAACTCCCTCCCATTTGACATGCCCTTTATTTATTTCATTCTTTTCTTATTTGGGTGTTTCATTTTATATGATTTCTATTGCTGTCGTCAAATTGGCTATCTTCTGCAATGTCTAATCTGCCATTAATTAAATTTCTTTTCTTAGACATTGTAGTTTTCATTTGTGGAATTTTGATTCAGATCTCTATGCTTTTTAAAAAGCATATACTATACAAATGTAACTGTTTTAATGCCCTGGCCTGATAATCCTAAAATTTGTGTCTGTTCTGAGTTGCTTTCAACTGATTTTTCTTTATTACTCATCAAAGGCTTTTTCTTTGTCTCTTGAGATAATTATGTAGTTTTTTTTCATTGCTTCTTGTTATGGTTTGGATCTAGATGTCCACCCAAAGCTTCATGCATGCATAGGTAGCTTTTTCAGAGGTGGCTAAATCTAGAGTATGTGATGCTAGGATTAAGAGTGTTAGATTACTAAATCAGTACACTAGTTGGTTTGGCACCACCCTAATCCCAGTGGTATGGATAAGATAAAAATGGCAGAAAGACACTGTTAAGATTTCCTTAAAAAAAGATTCCCCTTTTGCCATCTTCCACTGCCACGAACGGTTGCCATTCTTCCATGTGCCACACTGTTTTAGAGTCAGCTGGTTATAGGCTAAAGTTGTAAGCTAAATAGCCTTTCCCTCTTTACTTTGGGTGTTGGGTATTTTGTCTCAGCGATGAGAAAAGTAACTAACACAGAATTTGGTACCAGGAGTAAGGTTGTTGCTGTGGCATTACCTGGTCATGTGGCTTAAAAGCCTTTGGAACTGACTTGTGGGAAAAGGAAGAGTTAGGAAATGTTTGGAGATGCCTGCTGAATGTCTTAGGCTGTACTGTATGGGAGGTTCTGATCAGACCTCAGATGACCAGAAAGTCAGTAAAGACCAGGCTCAAGAGGTTTGTGCTAGAAAAGACTGCACTGGCTTCAGGACTTCAGATGATTTGTGTTATGCTTTGGCAGAAAGTTTGTCTGCATTTTGCTCATGTCCAGAGACTTTGCCAGGCACTGAGATTAAAGGTGGCAGACTAATAAATCTGGCAGAAGCAATTTCAAGGGAGTCTAATGTAGAGGCAGTGGCATGGCTACTGTTGGGGGCTTTTAGCCAGATTTATGTTGAGAATCAAGAACAGAGAGCAAAGAGTAAAAATTATTTAAAACATTTTTACTTTGGCCAGAAAGGAAGCTCCCATAAAGTTGTGGCCTGCAAAGACAAGTCAGAGGAGATCTTGATTGCTCAGAAGGAATGGGAGAATAGAAAAGATGGCCTGAAGGCATCATACGGAGCAGCAGGACTTCACCTTTTGCAGGCTCAAAATTGCAAAAGTGAAAGACTTTGAGAAGAGAGCCCCAGAGTACCATGTTCCAGAATGGTGGTAGCCTAGGAAAGTTGTTCCTCAGGCTTTGGTTCATAGCCACTGGCACCCTACAGCCTACAGCCATGAGAGAAGGATGCCTGGCTGCTGCTCCATCTGGCAGCAGACCTTGGCATCATCCACATGGTGCTGGTTTTAGGTGAGTAAAGAATTGAAGAGTTGTGGGGCCAGGGAGGCTTCCACCCAGATTTCAGAAGAAGGCCTGGGAGGCCAGGTAGGCTGGCCCTGAGAGGGCAGTGAGTGAAGCTGCAAGTGTGAAGCTGAAAGTGCAGTGGAGACCCCAGAAGGTTGGAGAAGCCAGGATTGTGGGTAATCCAAGGAAGCTTCAAGGAAAGAGAAAAGCCATCTCAAGAGAGAAAATACAGGAGCTACAACCAGCAGCAGTGCCATAGGAGCAAAGCCCTTTGGAATTCACAGCTTACCACAGATTGCTTCAGATGCTGCAAGTGAAACTGTGGGATTTAATGTTTGCCCCACTAGATTTGGGTCTTGCAGTATTCCCATTCCTTGCAGCTAAGGATTTGCCTTAAATCTCGGAGGAGACTTTGGACTTGGACTTTTCAGCAGTGCTGAAACTGTTAGGATTTTGGCAACCCTTAGAGATGGAGTAAATGCCTTTTGCATAAAGGAATGAGAATGAGTCTCAGAGGATCAGGGGTAGGATGTTATGGTTTGGGTCTAGATGTCCCCCAAAGCCTTATGAGCTCATATATGGCTTTTTCAGAGAATCTAGAGAGTGTGATGCTAAGATTAAGGGTATGTGATTACTAAACCAGTACACTGGTTGGTTAGGCACTGCCGTAATCCCGGTAGTCTGGATAAGATAAGAGAAACAGAAAGATGCTGTTAAGATTCCCTTGTTACTTTTGCTGTCTTCCATAGCCATGACTTGTTGCCATTCTGCCATGTGCTGCCCTGTCTTAGAGCCAGCTGATTATGGACTGAAACCTCTACAAACTGTGACCTAAATAATCTCTTTCTACTTTAACTTTGGGTATTGGATATTTTGTTTCAACAAGAAGAAAAGTAACTAAGGCATTTCTTCTGTTTAATGTGTTATATTACTTTTTATTTTTATCAGTTTATTGCCATATTATTTTTATTTTTCTTGTTCTTATGAGTGCTATTTATTGTTACCAGTGTTAGTTGACTTTTAATTGCATCATTGGTCCTCCTTTTATCTGTGCACTTATTCATTTATTGTTGTACTGACCCCAGGGCCTTGAATACTCTAAGCAATTGTTCAACCACTGAACTACACCCCTATCCCCATCAAGCTTTTTGCCACTGGACCTGCTCTGCACAGTGGCTGAAGCAGATAGGATGCAAGCAGAGGCTTGAAATGACCTTGTGCATGGGCCTGCTCTCTTGAAGCTCTGGTCTTAGCATGACCACGTGCTCCAGGTGACTCACTAGTTCCATGAGGAGGTTGAGCAATAGATACAGCAGAGCCCCAGCTCAACTGGCCCAGCTGGGCCCAAGTTGCAGTGGAACACGTCAGTTGTTCAGAGACGTGATCAATACCAGCCTAGAGCAGCAAACTGCAATGACACCACTGAGACACAAGATCACTGTCATACCAGAGCAGTGAGTTCTGCAGTGTTATTAATCATAGCACAGCTGTTCCCTGTCTCTCTCTCATCACGCCATGCCTTGTGCTGCCTCAGACTCGCCACCAGTGCCATCACCACATGTGAACTCTCAACCTTGGACCAAAACTATGAGCCAAAATAAGCTTGTGCTTTTATAAAGTATCCTGTCTTGTGTGTTTCACTACAGTGATGAAAATCAACTAAATAACCTATCTATTTCCATGTATCTGTTTTGCATCTGCTTGTTGATATGGTTTTATAAATACTGCTAGATTTTTAGTCACAACATATGCACTAAAGGTCATCTTGCCTCTTCTTTTATTATTTTCCCTCATTTTTTCCATTGTATTGGCAAAGTGCCAGACACCGGATGTGGTTTGAGTGCTTCTTTGAAGAGTCTATGAGTTGAAATTTAATACCTCCTGTGAAGTCTTAAGGAGGTAGAAATTTAATCTAATCATGGTGCTTAGAAGTGGAGTCATAGGCGGTGATTATGATCAGAGAAGTTCATCAGGATGTAGCTCCCATGATCAACTCTTGGTGACTTTATAACAAGAGAGAGGCCAAACTGCACACATATATGCTCTCTGTCTCTCACCATGTGATGCCTTGTGCTGCCTCAAACCTCTGCCAGCATGAACTATAAGCCAAAATAAACCTAGTTTATTTTCTAAAGTATCCTGCCTCATGCATTTCACTATAGTAATGAAAAATAGACTGATGCACAAGGACATTGCAAACAATGAGTGATATTTATATTTGTGTGTGCTGGATGTTTGTGATACCCAGTGGTCTCTGATGGTCTACAGCATCTCTGTGGACACGGTGACTGTATCCAGAATCTCTCTCATAATGGTGGCAGGATAAGTGGGCCCTTGTAGAACCCAGGCAGCACTGGCCACAGAAATGGAAGCAAATTGAGATAAGTGGGCCTTGAAAAGATAACCTTTCCCTATTCATTGAAGTCTGAGGATGGCATGATGGCAGGGGACCAGGGGAAAAAAAAACATCAGGCCCGTAAGACACTGCCTCCACTCAAAGTCACAGACACAAACTCAAGGGTCACCAACCCTAGCATGAGGTGCCCAGAACTTTCACCTGGAAGGCATCTCTTCTAATGAATTCACTCCTCTTCCCAGTAGATGTTTTGTTAAAGTAAATGGAAGAGTCAGTGTGTAAGGCTTTTCAGGAAGGGTCAACATGTAAGGCTGCCTCCTAAAACAAGAGCACAATTGCCAAACTGGAGAGAGCACTCTGCTCTCAGAGGTCAGGACCTCAGAGTGAGGATGCGCTTGTGGCCTGCCCCTCCGGGAAGCAGGAGGAGTGATGGTATGAGAGGACACCATCCCGGGGGTCTGGTGGAACGTGGAGCAATGCAATTAGTTTCCTGTGTAGGAAAATACAAACCCAGGGAACATACACAGCCTTTTAAAGTCACTATACTTTTAACTTGGGCTTATCTTTTTTATTGCTTGGTGTTTAATCAGAAGTGGTTTGTACATATCAGCTTCCAGCTCTCCCTGCTGTTGAGTATTTAATGACCTGTGAATGAGTATGAGAAGATGGTGTTAAACAGAGCCCTACCATCCTTTTGCCGGGAATGAGCTCACCAAAGCTCACTTATTTGCAAAGAGGATGTTCAGGCACTGTTACTAGAGATCATTTACTTTAATAAAACATCTACTGGGAAGAGCAGTGAACTCATTTAGAAGAGATGTCTTACTAAGCTTATTGGGGTGAAGAGAAAATATTGAAGGAATAATCAAGCAGCAACAAATAGCAGTAAAAATACCAATAGGCCTGGGAGTGCGGCTGAGTGGTGAAACATTTGCCTAGCATGCATCAGGCCCTAGGGTACATTCCCAGCCCTGAAAAAAAAAAAAAAAAAAAAAAAAGATCAAGCCTTTGAACCACCAGTAGCAACAACTTTTTTTACCAGCCAGATGCTGTTCTCGGTGCACTCATATTTTCATATTTTTACTCCTTTGGTGTGCATAGTGACCCCATGAAGAAAGTACTATTATCACCATCCCTCTCAGGAAGGCTGCCCCCACACTCTTCTTTTTTGTGTAAGAAGGTGGAGAATCTGAAGTTCCAAGAGAAAGATAGAGGTACCAAGGGTTGGGAGAAATGAAAATAAAAACTAAGTGCTTGGGATCCCTGGCAGAGAAGGTGATGGTCATGTTCAGTGATAAGTTTTAGTGTTTATCGCATGTAACATACAGTTGTGTGACACATAATGACATTTTGGCCAATGATGGATTGCATATACAATGATATTCCCATAAGATTATATCACATATTGATGTCATCACTGTCTTAGTTTGTGTAAGTATATTCTTTGATTTTTATACAATGAAATCACCCAACAATGAAGTTTCCTAAAAATTAAGCAACAGTCAACTGTAATTCTATTATTTAAATTATAAATAATAGTATATGACACAGATATATTATTTAAACTCTCTGTATATGTGTGTAAGTATAAATACACATTATATTATTGTATATTATTTTATTGTCATTATTTTAGTATTCTTTTCATATTTTGTTGTGTAGGTACGAAGTCCACCAAAAAATATATAAACACTTCACAAAAACAAAAACAGTATGTTTTTTCAACAGATGGTGTAACCTTCATATTGTAAAACTTGAATAGGCTAAAATGACTCCATGCTAATAGGCCAGACTGTGCTTCTTCATATGCTAATTGCTACCTTGGTTAACAGCCCGCCCAGGGGCAAATGGTTTGACAAAAAGTGACCCTAGAACATTTCCTGCATAAGATAAGCAATGTGTTTGCAGTCTTGTTCTGTGAATTCCCTGACTCTTTGTTTAGTAAAACCTTATAAAAAGTACCTCAGCCCCTGAGCAGTTGCCTCTCTGAGCCACCTGGCTCCGGGAGTTCCGTCTGGCCAGACTAATAAAGGTCTCTTTACCATCTAGCCTGGTGTATTCCTTCCTGGGTTTCTCGGTTCTCTGTCGTGTTCGCGGAGCCTCGCTGGGTGTTAGGGCCCAGCATCGTGGAGGCCTTTTGGCTGTTCACGCTCCGTGGAGTGGAAGTGAGACTTTAGGTCTTACAATATGGGAGCCCCTAGAGGATGTCATAAAAAGTAGAAAACCCACTACACTGCCAGCCCTTAGAAAAGAAATTGAAAATGCAAGGCAGCAATCTCCATGACCAAGGTTGCCCAAGCAGCAGTTTGCCATACTAATAAAGATCTGGAAGCTTCTGGCCACCACTTTGAGCACCTCTTGTAATGAAGAGGCCAAAGGTAACTTGTATTAATCTCATGATGTCTCAACAAATTGGGTATTAAAATATTTGTACAGGTTTTTCCCCAAAGTGTGTAGTCATTTTTGGCAGACTCTGTATATGTTAAATATTAGTATTAGTGTTATAATTATATTATGTAATATATACTATATAATTACAACAGAACATACTATAATTCTATTATTTCAATATATTCTTTAAACAGAATTATCAAAGAAGTGTTCTCTAAGCGAAACCAGTGGGGCTGTGTGACCCTGCAAATTTTCAGTGGTGACTGCTGGGGCAAATGACTACTAAGAACCAGGAAAAGGGACAAAAACAGATCTTTTGCACACTGAGTAATATCAGGGTCATCTGGAAAAACGTTTACTGACTGGAAAGAGGACAAAGCCCACCCCACCTTGGCAATCATGTTCAGGACATCAGGTGACCTTCTGCCCAAGAGGTGGTATGAGATTTCTAGCTGCTTACCCAGATTTCCAGCAGAGTCCACCAGCTCAGGATGGCAGCAAGAGAGGTGGGAAGGCCTTTATCATTCACTGTGTCACCACCCCTAAAGTCCTCCCTCAGCTGACCTACAGAGGAGGGCCACACCTCCCCACCCCCAAGGTGAGAAGCAGAGCTGTCCTGCAGGCACATGTCTGGATCCTGGGCATCCTCTGATGGGACAGTTAGCCACTGGCCCTCCCAACAACCTCCATGTCTGAGCACCCACTTCTTGTCCAAGGGGATTCAGGTACGAAAGACCACTGCCCAGTCTGCTGTAGAACCAGAGATGTGACTCTCGTTCCTCTGTTGAGACAACATGGGTGCATTTAATCAGAGCTCTCTGGCTCAGTTTCCAACGTATCCTGTAGAAATGGCATTCAGCTTCATATTTCATTGTGTGCCTAAAGAGTTCCTCAGCAAGAGGGAAATAGAGGATAGGCCATCAATAAATACAAGGGGCTTAGACTGCCTTGTACAGAAGGCAGTGAGGTCCTTGCAAAGGAGAAGATCTTGAGAGAACACTTTAAGATTTCCAAAACTTCCTGATTCCTCCTGTGATCCCAGGATTGACAGCCAGACTAGTATTGTAGTATTACTTCCACATTGCAAACTTTCCTCTCTTTCTCTAACAATTTTTGATGTTTGCATTTAGGTTTTAAAACACATTGGTAATTCGTGAGGTATTTCTACAGCCATGTATTTTATCAGATATTTACTACTCCAGCCACCACCCTGCTTTCACGCTCTGCTCCACTCGCATCCAGTTGGCTGCCAGAGGGTTTCCTAGCGCTGTGGTAACCCCCCTCCTAACTCTAATTCCAGACACCACTCAAGACTGGGACTGCCTTGGGGTTTTACAACATCAGCTATCCTTTGGGGGAAGCGAAGAGTGTCCCAGCTGGCTTCTGAGGACCAGCTGTCAACTTCATCCATGCTCTATGCGGGTGAGTCCTTGTACCAAAGTGCTGCAAGAGTACATGCAGGAGCTAAGCTGATAAGAGGGAGGAAAATGGTCAGGCAGATTCTCCATCTCAGGGTCTAGGCCTCCATAGTGGAGTGTGAATGTATCTGTGTGTGTGTGTGTGTGTGTGTGTGTGTGTGTGTATGTATGTGCCCTTCTTCCTGGGTGTGGATGACCCTTCCTGATCAGGACTGACACAGAAGGCTTTGCTGAATGTAAGCTGCATTTGAGGTTCTATGTCTTCATTGTTATTTTAAACTTGCTCCTCAGACAGAAGAGCTTCCTTTTGATTTTGCATTTTTCTCCTTTCTACTTCATCATTTATCATTGCTTTTTGTCCATACTGCAGTGGTTCTGTTGTTTTACACATGCAAATGTGCTCCACCTTTCCACAACCTTGAGGGGCTCAGTGTCGCTGTCCTCATTTCATAGATGAGGACTCTTTGCTCTCAGAATGGTCAACCCATGCAGTTAAGTTCACCCAGCCTCCCAAGTCCCCTCACCCTGGTTTCCCACCCTCCCTGGGCAAGACATTTCCGAATCCTTGCATCAGAGAGTCTCACTCAGGCCTCTCACCTTTCCTAACAGCAACGACTTTGCTTTGTCTGCCCCTGGTGTTCATCTGTCTTACTTTCAATCTCCTTCCTCACAGCACCCGAGGAGATTGCATGCTCATATTTGCAGTGTCTTTGGATATCTCTGTCTTCTCCCCCTTGCTTACAGTTTCCTAGGAGGGTTTTAATAAAGCCCTGAGTTTGTGTTTCCTTGTATCTCCCCTTGCCCTTTCATCTTTCTTCTCCCCTTCCGTTGGCACTGTGCTCTTGCAGCCTAGATTGCTTCCTTGGCCTCCCAGATGGCAGTACCATTCCTTCTGCATTGGACATGGCTGCCTGGGCCCCATGGGAACCATCCAAGTGTGAGCTTTCTCTCAGTCTTCCAGATGCTGCTCTCTCTGCCTCACTTTGTACCTTGGAAACAAGCTGTAGAGCAGCTGTCTCCATTCCTGCCCACCCCCCAATAAAGCAAGTCCTGTTCAGAAGTGCTATTTGATAGCCAAGCATGGTGCCACACATCTGTAATGCCAGCAAGCAGGAGCATGAGGCAGGAGGATCACTGAAATTTCGAGGTCAGTACGAGCTACATAGTGAATTCAAGGCCAGGCTAGAATACATAGTGAGATCCTACCTCAAAACAAAACGAAACACAAGAAGAATTGCTGCTTGACACATAGTAGATCAGCCCTGTCCCCACTCTCCGCCCCCTCGTGTAAGTGCAGATCTCACCCTCAGACGTGTGTGGGACACACCCATTCTCAGCAGTTCCCTGAAACAATGCAGCATAAGCAAAACCACAATTTTTCAGGGAAACATTGATTCCAGACACTTCTGACTCTGTCCACCTCACCACATGGTTTCTGCATAGACTTTGAGTCCTTTTTAGGAGCAGACAGTGATTCAGGTATGGTAGCATATCTCTGGAATCCAAGCACTCTGGGAGGCTGAGGCAGGAGGGTCACAAGTTCAAGCCTAAACTGGCCAATTTAATAATTGGATGTAGTTTGGTGTAAAGGACTTGGATTCAATCACCAGTACCAGAAAAAGAAGAAGAAAGAGGAGGAGGAGGAGAAGAGGAAGGAGAAAGGTGGAGCAGGGGAGGAGGAGGAGGAAGAGGAGGAAGAAGGAGAGGAGGAGGGAAGGGGAAAGGAGAGGAAGAAGACTGTGAAGACAATTGCAGGGGCTGGCTTTTGTCCATAGGAGTGAGGATTCTGAATGGGGCCTCCTGCTTCCTCACCAAGGTTCCCTTCCTGACATCTACTGTTCTGGAAACCTCACTGTTGGCTCCCCACTTATCGGATGTCCTGTCTGAGGAACTGGGTAAGGCTGCAGGTGCTGAACTCACTGGTGCTCGCTGGCTTCCCTGTGCTGTGCAGACTTGTGGGAAGTTGAAGGTACACCGGGCTTGCAGTGGAAACTGCTGCCTGGCCTCCACTTCCTCTTCCCCTACTTTCTCCCACAGCTGGGCACATACCTCTCTGCTGGAGACTACATGTTCCAATTTGCCTTGCAACTGATGAAGCCATATGGTTTCCTTCTGGCCAATGGGACATGAATAAAAGAAATGGTGCACATCTCAGTCCATGCCTCAGGTGACAGGGTGGGAACATAGGGCCCCTCACCTGCCTACACCAGCTAGACCTTTGAGATATCTTAAATCAGCACCCTAGAACCTGCAGAAACAAGCAACAAAAGAGGGGCCTGTGTGCCCTACACTACAGCCACCACGTGAAGTCAGCCTGCTTACTTTCAGGCTGTTAAATAGAGGAAAATAAACTTCTACCTAGTTTGAACCATGGAATTTGGGGACTTCTTTATTATAGCAGCTTGACCCATGTGCTACTTGGTAAAGTGATTAATAACTGATACTTCCTTTCCCCTCTGTGCCTTGGGGGCAGACGCTGGCAGGGTAAGGTGGGAGTGGGTTGTAATGTGGAAGTTTGCTGCTCTGCGACTTTCCGAATCCCTCCCTGCTGCTAATACTGCAGGACACACGCCCCGTCATAATCCACTTTCTCAGCTTGCAGGCCAAGACATAGACTCTTCTAGCCACAGAAATCACGGAGAGTAAGAGGAGGTGGCACGGGGGTCTCCCAGAAGCAGGGGCCGAGCCAGGGACCCCAAGTGTCATCTTCACTTGGGTCGCCGCAGTGGTACTGGGACATTAGGGCAGGGCCATCTGCACTGGAGTAAAAGGGGGCACAAATTCCCCAGACTCCTGCCCTGACAAGAAGCAGGTTTGCCCCTCAGCTGTCATCCAAAGTAGAATTTGTCTCCTCACTTACCATGTACCACCACACTGAGACCTGGGTACAGTCACGTCTGCCTATTCTGCAAGGTGAAGGAGCTGGAATCTGGAGACTTTAAGATGCCTACCCACAGTGGTGGAGCCGAAGGTCAGCACTCAGCGAGACTGCTGTGCTTTGCTCCGTGACCCTGCTCTGTGTCTTGCTAAGCTCTCCCAGGTTCTCTCGGCCAAGACTTCCATGAGGCAGTCTCACCTTAGGGCAGGTGTGCCTCATGTGTTCCCAGACAGACCACTCCACATACTCTGCCAAAGATGGCCTAATACCCTAGCCTTGGCCTGATGGCTCAGCTGGAGGGACTGGGGGTAAGATGGGCTGCTGGGGTAGAACAGTGAAGCAGGATGAGCAGTATGTCTGGGGAGGTCCTCAGCCACGGAGGTCCACGTGCCACAGTTTCATTCTTCCTCTACTGCCACCACCTTGAGCAAAAGACAGTACCCGTCCAAATTCCCTCTTATCTGGTGCTGTGTTGTTTGTTTACAAATGAAGAAAGATTATGCTGGTGGAGCTGGAAATCAATCACTTCTCCAGGGCATGTTTGTCTTCAGAGGGTATGGCCATTTGGGGGCAAAGGGCAGAGGTTACAAGGTACAGTTCTTTCCCCAAGGCAGGCCAGTAAGAATGGGATGTCTATCCCAAAAGCCAGCTGGGCACTGGATACACACAAAAGTTCAGTGTCTGCCAGCTCTCACTGGACAGAACAGATAGCAGCAGCCAGGTCCATGGCAGCCAGAACAGTGGCCTCCACCTCCTGAGATGCACATCTTACACACACACACACACACACCCACACACACACACACACACACGAACATCTCTCTGGTGGAAATCTGCCAAGTGCTTCCAGAACTCCCAGAGATTCAGTGAATAGCACTTGCCCCCACTTGTATACAGGTCTTCTAAAGAGCCAGGTCTACAGGAAAGGGTCACTTCTAGAATGTTCTTACCTTTCACTGCACATAGGTAACCCAGGGAATCTTTTCTCCCTGCCTCACTCCAGCTGAGCTGCAGTGGCAGGCCAGACCTGGTCACTTCCATAGGACACAGAGACTCAGTGAATAGCACTTGCCCCCACTTGTATACAGGTCTTCTAAAGAGCCAGGTCTACAGGAAAGGGTCACTTCTAGAATGTTCTTACCTTTCACTGCACATAGGTAACCCAGGGAATCTTTTCTCCCTGCCTCACTCCAGCTGAGCTGCAGTGGCAGGCCAGACCTGGTCACTTCCATAGGACTATTTCCGGCAGAGCCTGCAGTCTCTCTTTGTCCTCTGGCCCCAGAGTTTCCAGAGTCTCACCCTGCACAGGATGTATGCATGTAACCACACCTCAACAGAGGGCAATCTAAACCCATCAGGGAACTGGGAAGGATGAAGCAGGTGGCCTAACTCCACATGCTGGCCTCTGTAGCTCACCACTGTTGGACAAGACTCATAATACAGTTCTCTCTGTGCTAAGAGGAAATGAGAGGAAACAGGGGAAGTGAGTAAATGACTCAGCCTCAGGACACAGGACACAGGACACAAGCATACAGGGGGCACACAAAATGTCTTCAGCAGACTGAACATGGTATGAATGGCTGCGTGAGGGACTCATATAGCAAGCCACGGGAGCAGGTGATCTATGCATGACTTCTCTGGCCAGATGCAGCTTCCTGTGGGTGATTTCAGAATATGGGCTAGATTTAGGCTTCAGGAGAGAAGAGGTCACAGAAGTCTAAGGGGTAACAACACTGTGGTGAGCAGAACCCAAGGAATGGATCCCAAGGGTATTTCTGTATCTCTCTGGAAAAAAAGAAGATCCCTGAACTCCACAAATGTAAACACACAGACTCAGCCCCAGCATCATCCCAGCATAGTAGGGGAAAACCACTCATGAAAGCAAAAAAAAAAAAAAAAGTAGCCGATTTCTTTTGTTTTTTTATTGGCAAAGTAAATATATTTTTATGAAGGACCAAATAAAATATACATAATTGTAACATATGTACACCAGCTTTATAGATTTTAAAATTTCAAATTTACATAAATGTCGATGTTATTAAAAGATATTTTATGTAGATGTACCTATGTACAGTTTATTTACATACATTCATAGGATGTGAAATAAACCTGTCAAAACAAGCTAGTTTGATATTAATTTCTAGACAAAATCAGGAATGCATTTCTAAATCAGGGTTGGGAGGCGCTACCTAGTTCTCTCACACCCAGAGCAGTCTGCTCCCCTCTCCTCTGGAAGGTGAACTTAGAGGCTGGTGTTGGCTTTTGTCTGGAAAACAAGATGCGGATGGCCCAGGCTGGGGAAAGGTTGCTCATTGTTCTGCCTGTCTTGCACACTGAACTCAAGCACATTCACCATCAGCCCCAGGAGGCAGAGAGGCTTCTGGCTCTCACCCACTTGGGCCCCAGGGGCCAGGGGCCATAAGAGCCTTGCCGCACCCTCTGCGGGGAACATCTTAGACACCAGCTGCCTTCACTCCACACTGCAGTCCTGGACTTTTGGCCTACTTCCTTCTTCCCAACACAGCTCCCTCTGGGAACTGAATTTCAAAACTGCACAGTTCTTCCCCAGGCATCAAGTATTGGCTTTGGCCCAGGCAAGGAGCCCAGTGGGAAAGGGGCCAGGCCCCCAAACCCTGCTTCCAGCTGGTGGCTGTGGCACAGGCCGGGCTACTGCGGGAAGGCACGAAAGCACAAGGCACCGAAGCCTGCCTCCAGCCCTAGGCGCCGGTCACCCAGCCCCTAGGAAAGCAGGTGCGCGGCTCGAATTCCTCCCGGGAAAGGCAGTGGGTGATGGCTCTGGGGTCTCACCTCCTGGGTTGCAGAAGGTGGGCTGGTAACATTGCCACATCCCTCTGAAGGAGGCAAATAAATTATTGTTTTTTTAAAAAATGGGTCTGGGGTCGGGGGGCGGGGTTGGGCCTGGCGGGCACGCTTAGGTCATGGCGCGCACGGACCGGCTGCTCCGCGGGAAGCGGTGCACCTTGATGTGCTTGGAGAGGTGGTCGCTCCGCGCGAACTTCTTTTCGCACACGGGACACTGGTATGGCTTCACGCCGGAGTGTGAGCGCCGGTGCCGCGACAGCTCATCAGACCTCGAGAACCTGCGGGACACGGCGGGTCAGCGAAGCGCAGCCGGCGGGGACCTGAGGCACCCACCTCACGCTCACCCAAAGATGCGTGGCCCCAACGGGATTAGGGCAGGGTTGGCGAGGCCACGCTGGGTCTCAAAAGACCAAATTACTTCTGCCTTCACTGGCAGTAGTCACTTCCAGCTAGGGAGAGCCCCTGCCATCCCACCAGGATCTGGGTCCATCTGGGTATTCCAGACGCAGGATCTAAGGCTGCCAGGCCTGGGACTGACTCCTGTGGCCCTCACAGTTGGTGTGGGGTCTGGGAGGTTCTGGGAGGTGCTCAAGTCACTCAGGCCCTGACCTGGGCTGCCTCTTACTACCCTATATTCTCATCTTCCTCATTGGACCAGAACTCCAAAAGGGCATCCCTGAAGGACTGCCAGCAACTGGCTCAGAGGTCAAATCGAGGCCCAGGAGAAGGAAGCACCCCCCTGCCCGCCTTTCAGGGAGTTTCTGGTTTCTTTGTATTTTTTCTGCTCAAGCAGGGAAAGGGATCTTTGGACTACAAATGATACCATTGCTGCACCCTGCTGTTCTGGATGTGGGGCCCTTTAAGATGCCTCCCAAACAAAACTGCACCCTGAGAGATATTTTTAAGAGTTTTAAATGGTTTCCCTGATGTCTCCTTCTCCACCTCTCCTGGCCGGGGGCAAGCACTCATGCAAAAAGCAAGACACACAGCCCAAATAAGGTGTCCAGCTTGTCCCCGACTTCAGGGGTTCAAGGCTTTCCCCATCTGACCCCGGTCCTGGCACTTCATGCACCCACCCCTTGCCTCTTCACATACAACGGCCTCTCCGTGGTCTTCTTTCCCATAACGTGCTTGGTCTAGAATGCTCTTCCCGCCCCTATCCTTGCTGTCTCTTGCATTTCTCCTAGAAGTTGGGCTCCAATGCCACTTTCTCAGGAAAGCCCTCCAAGACCTCATTCTAGGCGCATTATGCATTTCTCTTTCTTCACCCTTGCCACTACTGCAATTTTCAATTAGTTCAATGTTCTGATGAGTATCAGTCTGGCCTACTACACTGTCATCCCCATCAAAGAGGATGTGTCTGTCTGGTTCCCTGTGGTCTCCCCTGTGGCCAGCCCAGTGCCTACTGCTTGGTAGATGCTAAGTGCATTCATATCAAAGTGTGCACCTAGCAAGTGCCCCAGAAGGACAAGAACCCACTACAGGGGCAGTCCCAGTTCACACATGTCCACATACGCGCACACACACACACACACACACACACACACTGGAGCACCAGGTGTAACACTCCATCTCTAGACCTGGGGCTACTTGGCCAGAGGAATGTTAGGCGATGACCCAGAGAAGCAGTCCCCAACCCATCCTCTTGATCTGAGCAGGTGGCCCACCTCTGACCTGACCCTGTGGGTGACCTTGGTTCTGCTGCTGGAAGGGGAACAGGAAGACCCAGTAATGTGTGTGGGCAGAGCTCAAGTGGGCACAGGAAGGCTCTGCAGGGCAGTAAGTGTCTCAGCCTCTTCTGCTGCCCTGGGTCCCAGGGACCTACTCCCAACATGGAACAGCTGCTGCGCTTGGAATCTGACGTTTCAATCCACACCAGAGCATCACTAGTGCCTGGCACAGGAAAGGGCTCTCACTATATCTTCACATTTAATGAAGCTCAACTGTCCTGTGTGCCAGGTGAGGAAACAGACTCACAGTACTAAGGGCCTGATGCAAGGTCACTGGCAAGACAGAGCAACTGAGGCCATCACAAAGGTCTCCACACAGCCCCTTGCTGCGTCCATCCTTACCCTGCCTACTGTGCTAATAGAAGATACCCTGGATCTCCAACTGATGCCACCAGATTCCACCAAAGCCTCCCCTACCTGGCTAGGCAGCGTGTTTCTAGGACTCTGTACCCACAAGACAGGGCCAACTGCTCCCAGCTGGAGTTAGACACATACCTTCTGAACAAGTAAGCTGGCCCAGGGCAAGGGCAGGTTTCTCCAGGCACTGGCCAGGGGCCTGAGATCAGCTCTTTGGGGCTGGCATGATCATGGACAGAGGCTCAAAGAGGCAAGATTCTCATGGATCTGCCTTGACAGTTCCCATCCAGCTTTGTGCCCTGTGTGGTTCTGAGCAAATGACTGAACCATCAGGGGCCTTGTTTCCTCAATTGTCCAACAAAGACTTTGTGTTTTCTGTCTGCCTTTCAGGACTCATTGGAAAGGAGACATAGGCCATAGTAGACCTTTGCTTATGGAGACACCCTGGGAAAGACAGGCAGCTGAGGGGCAGCCAGGCTAGAGAACAAGCTCTCCTCACTCCTAAGCCCTCGCCCTGCTGCTGCAGCATCCTGATTTTTGAGGGACTGTCTCTGGGACTGGCCCTCCCTCAGAAGATCCCCACCCCTCACCACCACATTCTCCAAATTGCAGCCAACAGAGGGGTCTGGGACTACAGTAGGATGGAACAGGGACTGTGGGTCCGTAAGACGTGGACTCTGCTCTGACTAGGCAAACTGGCAAGTCATCAAGCTTGCTGAGCCTCAGTTCCTCCACCTACAGACAGAGAGAAGGACTGATCTATTCCTGGAGAGTATAAAAGGCCATGGAGTAAGTGCTTAGAGGACTACCTGCCATGCAGCGGTTGCTCAAGAATTGTTAGCTCTTATTACATGCATGTAGTTCAGTGCGAGGCCAGTCCCTGGTGAGGTCCTGCAATATGTGTGAGTGGGAGGGACAGGACCATCGTTTGTGCTGCTGGGTTGAAGGGCAGAGAAAGCAGGGAGTCCAGGTGGTTCCCTGGCAGTAGCCTGCAACATCAGCACTAGCACACTTATCTACCATCTTCAGAAAGTCCTTATCACAATCAAGTCTCAGAGGCTGTGAAGGAGATGACACTCTCTTGAGTTGTGTAGTGCACAGCCTGCCCAACCATCCTTGGAGCCTCTGCCTACCTCAAGGATGGGGTCAGAGAATACTTCACTGGCAGACAGACAGCAGTGACACAGGGACAGCAGTGACATAGGGGTTGAAAGCAGGCTGGGGGCCGGAGCACTGGTTTTGAAGCCCATCTCCCCATCTCCTGGCTCTGTGGCCTCAGGCCTGTAACTGCCTTTGCCTGGGCCTCCTCTGTCCACTGCAGATGACTACAGTACCTGCCAGCCAGGCTGTGACAGTTATTAATATTCACTGTGCTATGGTGGAAGAGGACTCCTTCTGGAAGAAATGTCTTGACTACCCTGGAACAGGACGTTCTGCTGTGAGACACAAAGGAGGCCTGTGTCAGAGCATGAGGCAGGGCAACTTCCAGGAAAGCCGGCAAGCAGCCACTTCTCAGATGGTTGGAGAATAGAAGGGTCTGGCTTCAGATCCATAAGAGTAGAAAAGACAAAGAATGCTTGGATGTAGGACAAAATAAGAAGGAAGCAAGGGTGAGTACCTCAGCACTGACTGACCTGGGCAGTAGAAGGAGGAGCCCTGGGGCTAAGCAGGGAAGCTGATTTGTTCTGTGGGCCTAGGGCTCAGCTCCAGCACACAGGGTAACAGGAAGGAGGAGGAAGAGAGGAGGCCTGAAAAGTAGGAAGCAGCCCATACAGAGGTGGGCAAGGTGACAGCAGAGTCCAGAGCCAGCTTCAGGAGGAAGGCAGGTCCTTTCACTGCCCCAAGGTGTGCAGAAGGGGCTGGAGAGAGGTCTCAGAGGCTGAGACAGACAAGGAACAGACAGCCCTGAGTAAATTCCCGGCTCCACCACGTAGTAGCTGAGTGACTGTGGAGAATTACTGGCCTATTCTTTACCTCAGTTTCCTCCTCTGTAACATGGATGCAACACGCGGATGCCCATACTGACACCACCTGAAAGGAGCTGCAGTGCTCGTGCTACCATTCGACCTCACTGGAAGACATCATAAACCTCATGGTACAACCCAGGGATTCAGACTCCCTGGTGTCACCCTCCGAGAGATAGCCCTCCCCAGAAATGGGCTCCTTCAGCTACCAGATGGACACTGCCTCTGTCATATATAGCATCATGAAGGAAAGAACTGCTAGGAAGAAGCTGGAGAAACACTCTAGAAGTCCAGGGAGGGCAGACAACTCCTGGGGCCACCCTGTGCTGAACTCACCATGCCAGCAGCACCCACCACACCAGCACCTTGTTGAGTGGGTCCTGGTTGAGAAGACATGGCCAGGGCTAAGATGGTACATAACTGAATCCTTCCCACAAACGTCCACTCTCACCTGAATACCTGTTGTCCTGGGTAACTCACAACCTCCATAGGCAGCCATTTAAGGGCCACAATCCACCTTCTTGAGATAAACTCTGGGCTATGGACCCTATCTACACACTAGTTCTGGGACAGCAGGAAGAAGGCAGGTCCCCTCTTACAGAGGACATAGTGTGTGGCTGTGACTATGCCCTCCCTGCCTACAGCCCACCTGCCCACATCCCAAGTGGAGAAGCCATTCACCAATGGTCAGCACTGGTTAGGGGATGGCCCTGGGAAATGGGAGTCCATTGTGAGAGTGAAAGCCAGTGCTCTGGAGGTGGCTACCCATCCTACTCAGGGAAGAAGGTATGTAGAGTCCCTGTGAGTGTGGGGCATGTCCTAAACTGGGCATGCCTCAGATCCTGACCTCGGTTGACAGTGACAACATGTTCCCCAAGAAGAGAGTTCTGTTGACCACCGCTGCAAGCCAGCCCTGGCTACAATGTGCTACAGATAGGGAGACAGGGGGACTTTGTAGGGGGACCACACTAAAGGCATACAGCAACTTGATAGCTGACCCAGGGACGGGGTTCAAAACCACTGCCCCCACTCCTCTCAATAAGGTGTCATATTGTCCTGACCTCCTTAAGAGAGCCTCTGTGGTTCCCCATACTTGGGCTCCTCTCTGCAATCTTTGACCTCCCAACACAGCACCCTTCCACTGTTATCCTCCCTCACAAGGACACTGTTAGCCCTGTGCCCATTCCAGAGGTCATGGTATGAGGGAATACCAAGAACAAAACCCTGTGGGGTTCTGGGGGCTGTCTGAGAGGGTGGGGGCAGGCGCCTCTGTAACCCAAGACACTCTGAGAAAAGTTCCTTCTCTGGCCAGCTTTCTCAAGAGAAAGGGGCTACAAGTGTCACAGATCACGGTCCATTGGCACAGCCTCAGCAGGTCAGGACCCTGCCCAGGGCCAACACTCATGAGCTCTTGGAACCAAAGTCTGGTCAAGGAAACAAAAACTAAAAACTGTTCCCCGTGTGCCACAAACACATATATACATGTGCACACACCCACACACCACTATACACAAGGATGCACACACACAGTCACAGACATGAAGAAAGGAAGATGTGCATACAAGTGTGTGTGTGTGTGCACAAATACATAGCTTTACATCCATTTGCAAGGTTCACTTCTATACAAATCCACATGCACACACATGCACATGCCACCCCCCTCCACACACACACACACACACACACACACACACACACACACACAAAAAAACCACACAGCAAGCAGCAGCAGCAGCAGCAAAGACAAGGAACACGTTGAGAACACACACTGCCCTCCCCGCCAGGTCCGGAAACCCCTTGAGGTGCTGTCCTAGACTGAGGAGGACCTGGCTGTGATACCGCAGCAGGCTGTCTCCGCCTCGGCAAAAAGTATATGTCCTCTCCACAATGGCAAGCAGCACCCAGACCAGAGAGAGCGGGATACACAGGGATTCCTTCTGCCCCTGGCACTCAAAGGCCAGGTAACTCTGGGAAAGGTCCCTACCCTCTAAGGGCTCATTTCCCTGCCTTGCCATGTAGAGCAGAGAACCTGGAAGGATTCTGCACCTTTGACCCAGCATGGTCAGCCAGCCTGGTCTTCCTTCTTGGTTGGCCCCTGTGGCTTCTGAAACACACCTCCATGTTCCCAGGGAGGAAGCAGGGACCAAGCCCAGCCCGTGCGCCCTAAGCATCTGAGAGGGAACTTCATCTCTCTGGTTGAGAAGCTAGCGCTTTCTGGATATGATCGCTCAATTCACCCCATGGAGCTCAGAGCCTATGTACACAGCACAGTGACCTCAGACAGCTACCTGGCCAATCCAAGCTTTCCTGTTCTCAGACAAAAGCTGGGAGTGATGGCGATACTTACCCCATGGGCACTGAAAGGATGGGGGAGGCCTCTGCCTGGCACACAGCCTGCGCTGTTGCGCTCAGCTTCCTGCTTAGTATGAATGCCCTTCTGCTGCTCCTAGCCCCATAGGATCAGGAGACCCATCGGGCAGCTCAGGTCTTAACAAGCCTTACCTGGTCATTATGAAACTGGATACCAGGTGGCTTCCAGCTTTAGTAATCCAGAGGGACAAGGAAGTCTCCCGGCTGCTGTGCCACCTCTGGCCCTGCCCCTGCCCAACTGTTTCCCCTTCCTAACCTTATCTCATGGAAAAATGGCTTTGGCTATACACCCAAATGAGCAGATCAGAGCAGGGACTTGCTCACTGCCTAGGCCTGTCCCCCACCATACTGACCTCCAGCCGCAGCCTGGCCAAGTGCAGGCGAAGGGCTTCTCACCCGTATGCCGGCGCAAGTGGGCCTTGAGGTGGCTGCTTTTGGTGTACATCTTGCTGCAGCCAGGAAAAGTACATTTGTGCATTTTGATGAGTTCTGCCGCTGGGTTCTTGGGGAACTTCTGGCCCACAAGGAGGCCACCAGGGCCAGACCCCAGGGGTCCTGACCCAATGGGCTTGGCAGCGATGGGTACAGGGGCGATGCGCACGAACTTTGAGGGTAGGTTCAAGTTGGAGGAGGGCACCACCTGGGGCACAAGTGCGAAGGTCTGTCCCTGGATATTCACCAGGAGCTGGGCAACCTTGACATTCTCTGGGGCCTGCACAGGAGAGGCGGGCCCTGTGCCTGATTCCTGCTTCACAGGTACGGGCTGGATCTGCAGCAGCACTGGAATGGGGCCTTCGGGTACAGGCCCCTCTCCTGGGACCTGGGTGCCACCCACACTGGCGCCACCTGGTGGTGGAGTACAGCATTCTCTCCCTCCAGCACCAGGATGGAGGTGGTTCCGGTGTGGTGCAGAGGAGAGCTGGCCACAGGCCTCTAGGTCCTTACTGTTGCTCTCCGGTGCCTCATTGACTTCCGGTTCCATATTCTCCTCCAGGAACTCTTCAATCTCCTCCAGGGTGGGCTGGAAGGGCCTGGGGACATCATTGGTGTCACCCAAAGGAAATTCAGGGAAGCAGCAATGCTCCCCCTTTATCGGCACTGGGGCCCTCCGCCAGGCCCCCCAGGTCATAGGACCACTGTTGTCCCCAATACCCCCACTGCCACCACCACAGCCCAGTGTGGCGTGGGACAGCAGGAAATCCAAGATGCTATCCTGGCCCTTGATGCCTGGGCTTCCACTACAGCAGGAGCAGAGGGCTTGAGAGTCAGGGCTGGCACAGGAGCAGGGGCTGGAGGCGTCGCTGTCATCCTCAGAGAGGGGCGACGGCAGCATGTGGTATATCTGCCGGCCGGCCAGCCTGTCACCCAGAAAACCAATGGGGCACTTTGGTGACGAGAAGGTCTCGTCCACTGGAAGCAAGTGGTCAACCATGCTGGCCTGGCCGTGCTGGTGGTGGCTGTCGAGAGAATAAGGGAGGCCTGGTCAGAGGACACTTCACTTGCCAGACCCTCCTGGGTCTGTACAACCCCAAAACCCCGCCCTCACCGCCGGCCCGCGGCTTCCCATTGCCACACGCCTTGCTCCTGCCTCCATCCCCAGGGAGAAAGAGCCCTGCAAGTGTTTTCTGAAATTGCACCACTTTGTTTGCAAAAGAGCCCTCTCCAGGCTCATTGCACAACCTGGGCACTTCTGGTTTCAAAGATTTTCCAGAATGATCCTGGAAAAGAACATATGTACATTTATCAATGATTGGGGTAAATGCAAGAGAGGATCTGAGGAGGCTCTCTGGACCCATGAATGGCTGATGTCAGGGAGCCACTGTACGTCTGAGAACAGGAATCTCAGCTTCACACCTATGAGTTTCAGTACAGGGATGGGAGAACAGCTATTTGCCCTCTGGCCCTGTGTAGTTAGAGCTTTTGAAGGGTTGCCAGATTGAGCAAAAATAAATAAATAAAAAGTATACAAACTGCCCAATAAATGTGAATTTTAGATTTTAAAAAATGAAATACTTTTAATATAAGTAGGCTCCCAATATTATTGGTTGGGACGTTCTTTTATTTTAACATTGCCTCTTTTGAGATTCAAATTTAACTGGGTTACCTGTATTTTAATCTGACAGCTGTAGTTTAAAGGCAAAGAAGTTAAAGAATAGTAAACCCCACCCATGCTGCTCCATTTCCCCATCTGATGGGGAGGAAGCCTGTCCACAGGTTGGTTTTCAGACCTCTCAGAACCTCACTTTCCTCCTCTGGAAAGAGAGGAGGTAGAGTAGGGCTGGATCAAAATGCTTTCCCTGCATCTGGCAGTAATTCACAGGTATAAGAGTCAACCCAAGGTCGCAGGGCACCCTGTATAAATGACCTCCTTGGATCTCCCCACCACCTAGTAGGATAGGAGATTGGAAATGGTGAATCTCCTGCCCAGGACCCCATGGCCACTGCACTCCCCATGAAGGACACTCACCGCCTCGGGAAGGCTCAGCTAATGCCCGTCTCCCCTCTAGCCAGTGCACTCTGCTGTGCACTCACTGTCTGTGCTGTATCTCCGGTGCCTGGTATGACACCTGGTCCCCAGAAGGGGCTCAGAAGATGTTGATAGAGAAGAGGGGAGAACACTGCGTCCTCTGAAGCCAAAGGCAATGCTAGGTCTGGTGTCCAAAGAGTCAACAGTGTTAGCTAGGATGAGGCCACCTCTCTAGACCTTTGTCCCACCCAGTGACCACAGCAGGCTGGGTGTTTGTGGTTTGGGAAGGGAAATGTGCAGCATCAGGAGCAAGAAATCCTCTGGGGCCCAGCATTACTGCCACATTCACCTCCTGCCTCAGGTCTGCACCCAGCTCTTCCCTTGATCAATAGGCCAGCATCACCAGCTGTGACCTTGGGCCAGGCTTTGCTTCCCCCAAACCTCAGTTTCTTCGGTTCCATACTTCAATAATCTCTAACTCCCTCTCCTGCTTAGGGATGTCAGGACCTTTGACCTTAGTTCCCAACTCAGACAGGAAGGTTTATGGAGCTCTAGTGAGGATATTCAACTTTTTGGTTTAAATAGTCAGCTAAGGATTTAAAACTAGATGCATGTTTTAAAATACACTCATCACCATGTCAGGGGCTGGGAAAGAGTGAAAGTGTCAGATGATGTGAGGGGCGACGAGACTGGGCAGAGGCATATTCCAACTGAGGCCTCTGAGCAGGGGCTCTGTTGCTCATCTGGGGAACCTCGGGCAGGCAGCAAAACCTCGCTGTGTCCACCTCAGTCTGTGAGCAGCCAACGAACTCATACAAGCTGCCCACTTACTATGTGCTCAGTAAGTTCAGGCCACAGGGACCAGCCTTCACATGTGGTAAATAGTAAGTAGTCTCTGACTCCCCACCCTGCCCCCCACTGCTGTATGCTGAGGATTCAGGGGGCCTCAAACCTTCCTGGGACCCAGAACAGGCTGGCTCAAAACCTTCCCTAAAATGTACCCACCAACTGAGCATGCTACTATTAAGCAATTACCACTAATATTTTAAAGTGTGATGATAGCATTGTGGCTACCTATTTGTTAAATCCTTATCTTTTAAAGACAGAAACCAAGATACTCATAGATACAACATATGAAAAGAAATAGTGAGGAACATAGGTACAGTTGGGTGAGAGTGGACAGAACACCCCCGTACCCATGAGGTCCCAGGGAAATAAGACTCAATCTCCATGCTGGGAATCCCACCACTTGGGAGGCTGAAGCAGGACTGCCACAAATTTGAGGCCAGCCCGAGATAAATAGTGAGCCCAAGGCTAGCCTGACCTACATAGCGAGACTCAAAACAAAAACAACAAAACAAAAGAAAACAAAACAAAACAGAATAATAATAAAGACCCAATCTCATCAAGGCAGCCCAGAGCACCTGGGCTCTACTCATCCATCCATCTCTGACTGTTCCACTGATCACCCACCATGAGACACTGTCCTAGCTGTTCTCTCTGTATGGGTCACTCTTCCTCCAGTACTCCAGATAGGGGCTCCTTATTTAGATCTCAGCTGAGAAGTCACTGTTACATCATCCCATATTATGTTCCTCCCAGCAAGCATATTGTAGGAAACTATCTTGGTTATGTGTTTGTGAACTTTGCTTCCCGTCTATCTCCTCACCAGAATATAAGCTGTTCTGACTGTTCAGTCCAAGGCTTTAATACCAGTCACAAACGGCCCGGCAGAATTTGCTGAATGAGTGTGAGTGAAAGGTAATTCTGGGACCCAGGAGTGGGACAGTCTGGGTCCGACAACAGCATCTTAGTGCAGGGCTGGGTGTCCTGGAGGCAGGATACTGAGTTACAGAGAGTGGAAAAGGGCCCTAGGACTTCCCGAGCACGGGAGTTAGAGAGAGGGACAGCCAGAGCTGAAGACATCCCAGGTCCTAAAAAACAGCAGCACGTGGTGCAAGCTGTGTGCAGGGGGAGGGGACACACTGTTCTGGGCACCGTCCCTGGCCAGCCGCTGGACTCCGCCTCCTCCCTGGGCAAGCCAGGCCTGCTGTTTATCCTCGCAGGGACACGACGGCTGCAGGAACAACATGTAATTGATAACAAGCCCAGCGCCCGGCCAAGGGCTTGCTATTGGGTCAGCGTACAAATCACGGGGGTGGCGGATGGGGGCTGCCCTTCAAAATAAGAGTCTCCACTCCCTGCGCCACCCGCAAGCCCCAAGTCACCAAATCTTTCCCTTCTAGCACCTGTAGGGCAGCGGAGGAGCTCCTCACGGACCACCCTGTCCTCGGGAGGGAAGACTCACAGGGCTCAGACATTTTGGGGTCTCATCACCGTCACCTTCGTGGGACCGTGGGAGAAAACAGCCCTTCTGCTGCCCTGAAGAGGGGCGCTCCATGGGTAACAACAACACAGTGGGGAGGGAAGAAGGAACAGCGACCTCTGACGCGGGCCTCTCCTCTGTCCCCGCTGCTGACCCTTCTGAGCCGTCTCTCTGATAACACTGGGTGTAAGGAGCCCGAGACTCTGTGCGGAGGGGGGGGAGGGTTGGAGGGCAAAACGTGTGCACGCAGCGGGTGTGCGGCAAGGGGTGTGAGTGTGTGTCCTAGTGGCCGTGCGGGTGTCTGCCC